TCCTGCTGTTACATGGGATGTGGTTCTCAGAGTTGTTCTGAAGCATTTGAGTTTTTAGTAGTTTTCTGCTAAATCAGGTGGAGACCAACTGCAAAATGGTGTTGTAGAAATTAGGGTGGTATTGTAAAATTCACATAAAATTAAATGTATGAAAGACTTACTTGAAAGATGAGTTTCTAAATAGAAAATGCCAAAGAAATGTGAAAACTTTGAGTGTGACTGAAATCTGGGTCAAATTAGTATTACCCTTGTCTGTAAATATAGAGGTCTCAATCCTCCAAGGCTAAATTCAGATAGATTCTTGGAACACCCATGTATGACCATAGTTCCATCCCTGCAGTTGTCTGCAGGACTGATTAATAATTTCTTTCCTTATTCATTAGTCAAAAACTTGGAGAAAATGTTGTTTACATCTGTTGGCCAAAATAAGCACAGCAGAAACCACAGCTCTGAATGAAAATGTTGGTGCTTCTCTTGACTGTGGAGCATAGCACAAGGAAAGGCTTGGTGCTCTGTGTTGCCTTCTGGAGGAAAGATGCTGATGTTCTTGTCCCTTGGCTGTGAGCATGAGTGAGCCTATAGAATGTTTTCCTCTCTGGGGAGCTGTTCCCCAAGTCCACTGATGGAGGGTTATTAAGAACTCAGGCCACATTCTGATTATATTTCTGTTTTGATGGATTTGGTATTTTTCATTAATCTTTCAACTAAACTTGACACCTGTACTCAAAACTTAATTTCCATTTTATTGTTGGTCTTGCAGAGTAAATGTGTACATGGAACGTTCTAGAACAACAAGCTATCCTCTTTGTATTAAATAGCCATACACTCAGCTAAAATGGATGCTTTTCCACAGCTCAGGAGTGTATCGAGTGTGTTTTGTTTGTTATCAGACATCTTACATTGCTGGTGGATTACAACACCATGTGAGCCACAATTCCTGACTTTCTGCCAGAGGAAAGTCTAGCTGATGGCAATAAGAAAACCTGGCAATACAGTGGTTAAAGCAGTCATTTTTCTGGAATAGAACAAAATCTTCAATTATAATAAAGCCACATGATCCTGGTCAAATTCAGTCATTGCCCTGGAGTTCAGCTATACATGCAAATACATTGAAATAATTATACATTAATAGCCACCAAAGGAGAAAATGCTTGGCTGATTACCTCAGGTTAAAGCCCCCTTGGCAAGTTTAAAAACCTTGCTCAGTTGTGGTACTCAGCTGATTGCTCTTTGGTTTATCTCAGGGAAGCACAGAATTGAGTCTTTGCCTTTTATTTGTTTCCTTCTTGGCCCTTCCTCTTCCAGATGTGCTGAGCTGTCTGTTCTGCCCACCAGTCTGCTTTGCTTGGCAGGCAGGAACTCTGTGGCAAGAACACCTTGTCTGTGCAGGCCCCTCTCAGAAACATTCTCAGCTCCTTGCTGATGTTTCTGGCTCCTGAGACAAAGAGTTTAAACTATAAATAGTTGGACAGTGACCCAGAGAGAGCTCCAGTGATGACAAACACTGATGGGAAATGGTGATTAACAGACTGTCTGCCCATGTCTAACTTTTCATGTCAGATTTTTTTAAAAAATACTTTGCTAATAATTGCTGTTCTCTGTGGACTGAAAACTAGCTGCTCTACCCACCTTAGTTGTGCTGCTACAGAAAATACATATGTCCCCTGTGTCAGGAAGTATTTTCTAGCTATCTGAAAAAGAATGAAAAAAGAATGCATCTAAACTTGACTTTATAGAAAGGTCTAGACCAAGAAGTCAGACTGGGAAAGGAAAGCTTGGTCCTATTTGTGTTGGTTGCCTTCAGTGGAAGAGGAGCAATTCCTCTAGCACAGCTCTGGGTCTGCCTTGGTGTACCCGTGTTACCAATCAGCTGGATGTCTCATAAGCAGTGAAATTATCATTATCAGTAGGGTAAACAAAATTGTCATTGGGCTCCAGATTTAATGGTGCTTTGAGATGCATGGGAGTAACAGCCACCAGTTCTACAGACAGTGGTCTAATCTGAGCCAGGGTCTGCTCTTTGCCTTTTACAGAGGGAACCAAAGCAGGGGTTTTGAGTGAGTCAAACAAACATATATTCTTGTCTCAGCTGAGACAGCAGCCAAGCAGAAACTGGAACCCATTTTTTACAGGAGTACTTAGAGGTTAATTCTTGCTGCTAGCAGTTGTGTTATTATGTTAATAAATATTCTTAAGCACACACAGAATTAATTAATTGTACTGTGTCCTGAGAGCAATTTGAAAATGTTAGCTTTTCATAGGGCAGCACTGCAGTTTAGGCTGAAGCAGTAATGATCTGTGATTTAAACTCTGTTACACAGACTCACAATGATAAAACACTCAAGAATGGAGTTAATAAGGCTTCTGCAGGATGTTTCTTTTTGTTCAAAGGTAATGAATCACATTAATGGCCTATAGGTATTGGGTTTTAGATGTACGTGTCCCTATAGATGATCTGGTAATTTTATCTATTCTATTGCAGTTTTATTTTAGAAAACATCTGATTTCCTGTGGTAATGTTTTCCAAAAACACCTAAGGCATTTCAGTACATAAATCCGTATCCACAAAAGCTTAGACACACAATTCTTAAGCAGATCTTTTTTCCAAGTTTGTCATCCTTAGAACTTTCTTGTTCAGTGGAAACTGGCCTACTCAGTCCCTTTTGAAATAGAGCCCTGAATACATTTGAAAACATCACCTGAACATTCAGGAATGTTCAGTGGTAGTAGTGGTACATCAGTGTATATCAGTCCTCCATGGATCCCAGGGGATGGCTTGCACTTTGGAAAACCAGTGCACAGTCACTGGGAATCAGCTGCAGGCTCTGGTCCCAGCTTTAGATCTTAACTAACAATCCCACACACACACACACTCAGACAGTCAGAGGGTACAGAAAACAGTCTGGTCCTGCAATATAGGCAAATATGACTGGAGGGCAGAAGAAATTTCTCTAAAACTGAAAAATTGAGAAACTTCTAACCAAAATGTCTGCAGCACTTTGAACTGTACAGGAAGACAGCTCCTTGCCACAGAAGTTAGACTATTCATCTCAAGTTTCCAAATGAAGAAAGGCAGACTGCTAGGTATCAGGATTTGGACCTGTGGCTGACCAGCCCTGGATGCAGAGCTCACTGCAGCACTGTGCTGCACATTCCCAGTCTCTATGCATCCACCTGCTCTACAGACTGCTTGGCCCCAGGTCTCCAGAGGATGCACCTCATAAGGCAGCTGAGGTATTTCAAATGCTGTGCCTTGAACTACCCACTTGAAGGAGATGTAGGAG